ATATATATATATGGACCGAGTACACACACATAGACCTGAATCTATTATATGCAGCACCCACAGAGCTGACTGCGAGGTCTCATGAGCCTTTCACACCCTGTTGTCGAACACCGCACCCTGCTTCAGAGTCCACCGGAGATTCATCGGATCTGCGCGGTTGGGCAGAGATAGAGAGCTAGAGTACACGAGGTAATGTGTGCTCTGGGACTTGTGAATATCTGAGGCTCATTGGCGAGAAACCGNNGGTGGCATGACAGTGGGAAGAAGCATCAGCACTGCTGGCGGTTCACTCGTGCCGACAGCATTGCAATATCTTGCCAACGACTCTCGACGGCCACGAACGTGAAGTATACGTCCGCTTGGAGTTGTTTGAAAACTCAGTTGACTCAAGAGTATATTGGGACTAGTAGTAGTTGGTGTGGACAGGTGTTGTGGTTGTAGTGGTCGTGTCGCCAGGACGGAAGGAGGAGGAGTTGTAGCAATGGTGCCCTGTGCCGGGAATCGAGAACCGCTATATTTTGGCAAGTCATCTTGGTAATCGTGGTGCGGGCAAGATGACGGTAATCTAGGTAATCTTGCCCCACTTGCACACCAAGATTACCAGGATGACGCATCATCTTACCCGCCCACCGCCCGACCGAGATGACCTCTTGCCCGGCTTGACGGTACTACTTTCCCGGCACACTGTCATAGTAGTAGCTGGAGAAGGAGGAGAAGGAGGAGTAGGAGTAGTGGCATTACTAACAGCAGCAGCAGGCTGCATCAGTGACGCAAGTGGTGATGGTACTGCTGGCAGTTTCTTGACCGGACGTTGGCTTAATCTTGCAACTCGTGCAGGTATACTGTAGAAATGGTCGTGATCGTCGTTTGTCGCTGTTGTAGCAGCGCCAGCGCCAGCAGCAGCAGCAGCAGTAAAGGCAGGCGTACTGGAAAACTCCCCCGGAAAGCCATATCAAGAAACTCAGGCCAAAGCCCGCAAACCAAAAACAAAGCGAACTCTCTCAGATTTTTGTCAGCTTCCCACAAACTCCTAAGGACAACTATGCCAGCTTCACAGTCAAAGGCAGCGACAGTGTTGACGAGGATGTTGAACGTTTCAAAGAGCTGCGAGAGGTGCTTGGACCGGACTTCCCCTTGGAGATTGACCCGAATCAAGCATACACAGTTCACGAAGCTTGCGCAGCAATGGCAAAAAGTCTCATTGAGATTGTTGCGTGAAGTACGTTAGTAGTTTGCAGTGTTCATATTCTCGTCGCCAACGCAAGGATGCCATCAGGGTAGTCAAGGCATTGGAAAACCACAATCTCGCTGTGCTTGAGTCTTGCATGGAGTTTAGTAGGCCTTTTAGTTTTCACTGCTCGCAAGACACTGGTATTGCTTCATCTAACTACACGGAGCTGCACAGAGAAGGAGCAGCCATGTGCATGGTGGGACATGGAAGGATCAGCTCAAGTGCAGGCGGCCGCACAGGAAGTGCCTGCGACTAGGTGCCAATTTATCAGATATTGTTTGCTCGTGTTCGCGTTGATCCGCATCTGGTCTTCGAAATTTTGTTCACCTCATCAGGAGCATCACTGCCACCAGTGCTGGCTGACGTCCTTGGTGCTTGTGATAAGAGTTTTAGTAAGTTTGCTTCTCTGTCAGTTTGCACTAAGGTGGTCGTGGATGAGGGGGCCATTTTCCCTTGAGAAATTCGCCGAGTGGCTCAGATGAAGGCAGGTCGTGGAATCACTCTGAAGGTCGCGCACGGTGGCTTCACTGGGTGCTCCCTAAATTACAAGACGGCCGTGGAACATGGGCTTTTCTGCTACTTGGATGTGTGACGTAAAGCAGATCCTGTCAAAGCATACCCCATGCCCGATTATTGGATGTGCTCCTGCCACATTGCCAACAGTCATCCGGAGATCATGCGCACTCCATGAGGTAATGTCGGCTCCAAGCATACCATGGGAGTTGGCACAGCAGCCATTGCACATTTCTGCGCCGCACACCCAGGCGGCCGTGTGCTCTCAATGTAGAGGTAATCGCAGTGTTACAAGGTTCGTCGGGACCTACAGAACTCCGCTGTTTGTTCCGCTATGGGCTTCACATGAAGTATCAGCGGTACTATAGGAGCCCGAATAATTACCGATATTATTCCTTAAGGTTCCTTATTATACTCAGAACTAGACTATAGAGGAGCCCAAAACCCTATTATTATTATTATATATTATTATTATTATTATTGTTATTATTATTAAGAAGGCCCCTACATTGCATGTACCGGCGGGCAGGCTAGGTCTAGGTTAATGTCGGTTTGTTACACTGCAAGGTCTGTCGCGTTGTTGTACAGACTACTTGGTGGTCACGGAAGTGGTGATGGTGACGGTGATGATGATGCTAGTGACTGCCGATAGCATTTCTGATGCCCATGGTCCTGGTGGTGGTGGTGGTGGTGGTGGTGGCGGTGGTGGTGGTGGTGGCGGTGGTGGTGGTGCGTGGCGGTGGTGGTGGTGCGTGGTGGTGGTGGTGCGCGGTGGTGGTGGTGCGCGGTGGTGGTGGTGGTGGTGGTGGTGGTGCGTGGTGGTGNNGTCATGATACTGTGTTGTGTCCGACTCTGACTGTGCATTAGACTAGGATTGTGCGGCAGTTGCTGTGATCTCTGTCGCTGACACTGTCGGTTATTGACCCGGTGACCTATGGCCGTAAGATCTAGCATCTGCTTCTCTTACCACCGAATCTACACTGCTGTACACGTCGCAATTGCGACAACGCCCTCTGGGTCCTTCTAAAGCATCGGAGTGGTAAGCACTGGAATGAGGTTCTCCCAGGCGAAGCAGATTCTTGGCGCATGAACCACCCAACACCGGAATCACAGACTAAAAAGCACCGGGCAACCATAGCAAAGGAACCAACACTAACCAGCATCCTGCTTGTGAGGATTCTTCTAAAGACAGCCGTGAGGTTTAGGATTTGGAGGATCTGCTGTTGTGAAGTGTTGGAGAAGCCGTATCAGGAGTGTACCAGCCCATCGGTTACGGATCGCCCCGTGAGCGGTTCATTGACGACATCATCAAAGGCGGCATCAACTTCCACGAAGGCTCCGAAGTGGAGGGCGAATAGTGTTTAGGGTTTGTATACAATCTCTCCACCCCCCCCCCAAAAAAAAAAAAAATAAAA